TATGAGTTATGTGTCGACATGTGTGTGTGTGTGTGTGTGATTGGGTTGAGGCGGTCATGCTTTGTGCTGAAGGCCAACAAACCCAAGGCGGCCCGGATAGACTGAAGGCCTGCGAGGCGGACCAGTCAGGCCGAAGGCCCGGAGAACGTTCCAAACAGGATGAAGGCCCGGTGAGGCAGTCCAGACATGATGAAGGTTCTGTATGCATGTTGTTGCTGTGATATTTATGATTATGTATTGTGGTGGTATTTAGGGGAAACTCACTAAGCTTTGGGCTTACAGTTTGGATTATGTTTCAGGAACCTCAGAGGATCGTAGGAAGGCGAAGGCGTGATCGTGCACCTCCTCATATTTTTGTTTTACGATTTTGGGATTTCTCTGATGTGAAACTTATTTTGAAAACAATTTGTAAACAATGTTGGTTTTGGGTTTGCTTAAAAAGTTTAAAATTTTCAAGAATTTAATGAATGTTACATTCCGGCTCCTTTTCCTCCTACTCGTTCTCCTTGAATACATGGAAACAATTGATTATTGAATGGGTTAGCACCATGTTAGAATTCCAATATGCATATGCAAACTTTCGTGAATCGTTACATAAATCAAATTGAAAGAAATAGCAACGCACTTTCATGTATTTGTTTATCATAACATCCTACTTTCACTTCTTTCATTTATACTTTTGCAACATTGTAATTTGAATTATTTTCTTATTAAGGCATTGAACTTGGAAAAGGGTTCAACGTATTAAATAGTAACCAAATTTTATGTGTTCCACCTAGGTACTTTGAACTACATTTTAGGTTGTTTAACCACTTAACTCTAAATTTTGTAACATACTTACGAAAAAAAATTATTTATTTGTTTCATTCTTTAAAAATAATAATAATAAAATAAATAAATAAATAAATAAATTTTAAAAAAAAAATCTTTAATGTGTTTTACCAGGTTGTATTAAGTTGAATGGGTATTGGGGCGAATGTATGATTTTATAGTAGGATGTGACCGGAAATTTTAGTAGTGTCACATTAATAGAAAAAAAAATCGACAGTTTTCGAATTTTGCACCACGTCCGGAAAAACCAAATGTTGTCCGTGCCACTACGGGTACCATAGTAAAACCATCATGTAAACATCTCTCTCTCTCTCTCTCTCTATATATATATATATATATATATATATATATATATATATATATATATATATATGGCATTTTTTATACAATGTTGGCACAAATTTAGGGGCTTTTGGCTAGGTGCATTGATTTAGAGGTAATTAACTAATTATATATGTAAATCATGTGTATCTTAAACTTATACGAAACAGTTGTTATGCCACTTTATTATTGCCCACTCATAACAATGGAACAAAACTGAAACTTTGTTGAATAAAATTATGTAATTAGTTTTTATAATTGTAAACTTTAAACATATTTGATTTTTCACGTGTGTTTTATCCGGAAGTTGTATCATTAGTACCGTTGGGAAAAAAAACTTAAAAAAAAAAAAAAAAGGCAAATGGATCATCAATATTTACCAAGATTCGAACAAACAGATCATGATTATCCATTAATACAAGTTACATACATACAAATACAAATGATAGAAAGCTTCCATCTAACATTCTAACTATATCAAAATTGATCTCTCCTTCCTCTTTCTAAAAAACTGTGAGGAGTTGATTTATTGTTCGATCCGATGGATGCAAAGATCTTAAGATGATTACGATCGGCCATTAGAGGAGAAGAAGGATGCCACAGACTGAGCTAATCCTAACACAATCGCTATCTTCACTTGACCTCTCACCGGAATCGGACGTCCATTAGCAGATGCACATCGGACGCCATTTCTGTTCTTCATCGCGGCTGATCTCCTTACTCCGGCCATATGAACTAGCTATTATCTCACGGCGGCGTAATGGAATTTGGGAAGGAGTGTTTGGGTTGTAGTTTTGTAGTGGTGGTTACTGGTTTGAGATAGAGTTATATATATGAGGCTCTTTGTAAGATGCCCCTCGTTTTGAGGAAAATTACAAAAAGGGCCTAATAATAACTTTTGACAGAATATTGACCATATTGACCCAGGCCTCCTTTCCTTTCACCTTTTCTTTTGCATTATAAAATTCTGTATCAGTATATCTTCTGTCTTTATGTTTTTTCAGATTTTTAGCTTTATGGTGTTCCCACTTCATATCACTCACAAAACATTTGATTTAAGATTCCGTAGCTCAAATAAAATTAAGGGTATTTAAGAGAAATATTCCAACTAAAAGTTATTAAAGTATTTAACTGATAATAAAAATATAAGATTTTTAAGACATCTGTTAAAACTAGACATCTTTTACAAATCGTTTTTTAATTTTTTTTCTTAAACATTTTATAGATATATGAGGTAGATTGAATCATATACAATACCAAAATTAAAAAGGTAGTGGAACTGGAGCGAAAAGAAAAAGGGAGCCAAATTTGGTACTATAAAAACCACGTGGTATTTAATGAAATTATAATTATATTCCTCCGCGTGGGGAATTAACAACTATTAACTCGAGTGGTAGTACCTTCTTATTATTAATCAAAATATTAAAATGATAATAAATGTTAATTGCAAACATGATATTTGTTTAAGTCATAAGGGCACTGGGCACGTTCCTTGTTTTGTTTGAGGTTTAAATATTTATATACAAAATGTTTCATATACTTTTTTCTATCCTTTTATAAAATATAAAGGTTTTTTTTATATGAATTATGCAACTATTTTCCTTTTTTTTTTCTTTTTGACAAAATATGGAATATTTCTTTCTGTAGATCAGTTGAAATGCATATGCATAATTCGTGTCAAATCCAACGTAATTACATAAACAAACATTAAACCGTTATCACCTATGGTATATATTAATTAGAAAGTTCTTATAATGATACATGTTTTCATTTTAGGAGTTTTGCCACAAACATTTTTAGTACATTTTTGGAAATGAAACTTTTCTCGATCTTTCAGACCAGCTTTCGTGCATCAACCAATCTCCCACTGCAAAGGTTTTGGATTTTGGCAGATTTAGTCCATGTAATTTTTTAATTTATAGAAAAAGGTCCTTGTGAAACTATTTTTACAAAAAATAGTCCTTATGTTTAAGATATTTGTATGTTGACAGGTTTGGTCTCTGTGTAGAAAATAAATTATAAAAATTACACCTTAGTTTACAAAAAATGTCATTGTGTATTTTTTATAGAAATGGTCCATATGTTTAAAAGAATTACAAAAATAGTCCCAACTTAATAGAAACTTTGCAGATTATAGGGCTGCCAAATCGGACAGTCATGTTGTGTTTTTGTCTGACACGTCACGACACGACAAGGTTTTGTATAACACGAACACGAAACGACATGATGTCGTGTTTTTTTTCATTAACATGAAAACGAACCAATTAAAACACGACAACACAACACGACACGACAAAGATAATATTACATAACTATTAATGTATTTTATTCATACTTAAAGATATATAACATGATAAAAACGACAAACACGAAAAACCTGACAACCACATGTTTAATCGTGTCAATTTCGTGTCGATTTATGAACACGAACACGACATGACACGACATCGTGTTTTTTAATCTTGACACGAACACGACATCGTGTTTTTTAATCTTGACACGAACACGAATTCGAATTTTGATTTCGTCCCGATTTCGTTTCGTTTCGTGTATTTTTGTCGTATCGTTTCATAAATTGACACCCCTAGCAGATTACGCTGTCCCACGCCCATGCAATATATGTCATGATTCCCCTGTTTCGTCCTTACACTTTTTTGGTTTAATGTTTTTGCCACCTGACTTTTGTATATTTACAGGTTTGCTTCTTACACTTTCGACGATACACAAGCTTAGTCCCCTTGCGAAGAAGGGGTAATAACTTACTAGTTAAAAAATTAAAACCAATATGATGTCACGACGAAACAAGTTCTAAATTATAATCTAACACGTTAAAATTGAACAACAATCTAACACCTAAAAATCCAATGTGATAGCCGTTAAACACGTTCAATTCATCAAAATCAACAAGTTAGGGCTTAAATCTTCTTGCAAAGATGTAATTTAGTTTGTAACTTTGGCTTTTTGTAAACCTTAGGGATCATTCAGGTAATTTTGTTTTAAAATAATTATCATGTGTATATAGTTTTTATTGAAAATTAAAACATGTTTTCCAACTCGTATTATTTTCTTAGTAAATTACATGTTTTTTGTAAAATTTTAGCAATATGGTTGATGAAGAAACCCAAAATATAAAAGTAAAAACATAGGACCATAATATATTAATAGAAGGGTTAATATCATAAATGGCACCAAACTGTTTTACTCTTTTACAAAAAAAAATAAATAAATAAAATAAAATAAAATAAAAAAATATAAAAAAATCTGTAATAAAATACTATCAAAAGGTAAGCAACTTCAACATTTTGTTCACTGAAACAAAACATTCTAGGTACTTACCTTATAGTATATATTTTTTTGGAAAAATTACATGAATGGTCCCTATGATTTGGGATAATTTGCACGTTTTGGTCCATAATTTATTTTTATTTTTTTAACTCAGAAGATCCATACTGTTTGTTTTTATTGCGTTCTTGGTCCCTGTCTTATCTAAAAAGACTATTTTGTCATTGATTTTTTAATTTATTTAAATAAACACACCCCCCAACCCACTTCCACCTCAGCTTACCTTACCTTACCTAACCCACCTTATTTAAATAAATTAAAAAATCAATGGCAAAATAGTCTTTTTAGGTAAGACAGGGACCAAACACACAACAAAAATAAACTGTAGGGACTTTCCGAGTTAAAAAAAAAAAAAATGTTAAGGACCAAACGTGCAAATTACCCCAAACCATAGGGACCATTTGTGTAATTTACTCTATTTTTTTTTAAAGCAATGGTGATTTGTAAAAATGAAACAATTTTATAACAATAACCTGAAATAGAAATTTTAGTGATTGTAAAAGTAATCCTCAGAATCAGAATGCCAATAAACAAAACCACCACTTTTAAACAACTAAAAGATTTACAGAGACAAATCTACCACCATCTTTCTATACTTTTTCAAAAAACAAACAACAAATCTTGACATTAATCCAAAAAAAAAAAAAAACTGTTGAAATGATAGGGGCAATATGGTCATATTGCTGCTCGTACAGCGGTTCTAGCAGCTTCACGTCTTAACTCAGCAGCCTGCCCACTGCCTCGAAAATACATGAATACTTGCTGCACAATGACATGTATACCCTTAAGTTTCAAACCTTTTTTTTTCTTTCCGCAAGGGCAAAATGGGAAAAGCGACGAGAAATCTTACCTGGATAACCCAGATGCTGAGCAGAGATTCTAGACAGAATAAACCGAATCCAACAAAGTAGAAGATCTAAACAAAAAATGAATGTAATTAGTACAATGGAAAATAGCATCCTACTTTAATTTTTTTAAAGTAAAATGTTGTAATAATAAATAAAAATAAAAGTATGTTGCTATTTCTTGCATCAAGAAACTTACCCCAACCAAAGCATGGTCTCCAACAAGATCAACAGCTGGTAGGATACCACTGTTTTCAAAAGGGGAAAAAAATTATAAATGAAGATCACAAAAGGGTATATTAGTAATATTGTTATTGGTTATTGGTTATTATTATTATATTAAAAATAGGAAGATAAGGAGAGATTACGCGAGAGATTTTCCTTTGAAGACAACTGGAGGAGCAACAGCGGCAAATATGACGAAAGCTATGTGAATCTGGAGAAAGAACATGAAGAAGTTGATGGAAAAATGTAAAAAGACAATAATGCCCCCGAAGAAAAAACTAAAGAGACTTACCAAGTAAAATAGGAAAAACCAAGTGAACTTGAACGCACTTTCGCTCCTGCAAAAGAGAAGGTGCGGTTTGTTAAGAAATAGTAAATGATTGTTTCTTTGAGTTAATAGAAAAAAGCATGTTTTTTTTGACATTGAGTTGTGAATTTTTACGAATTTGCCCTTATTTGATAAAGAAAATTAAGAGAAGGAATTTACCTAAAAGCACGATAAAGTGGGCGATACCATAACACATAGGCGCCTGGGACCCCTGATATGAAGTAGATAAGAGCAAGAAACCAAATCTTTGGATCTAAAGTAAAAGGAAAATAAAAATTAGAATTAGAATAAATCTCAAACAAATGTTTTAGTTAAGAGATTTAAAAAAATAAAATAAAATAAGTAATTAATATAAACGAACCTTCTCCTTTAATCCATGCTGTTGTTGTAGCCACAATGTTCCAAAGAAGGCAAAGAACTAATCCTGTTTGGTGATAAATTATTTTACATTATTAGTCACTTCAATTTTAGTAAGTTTTCATCAAGATTTTGAAAATGAGTCCAATGTTAAATATGATATTTTAAAAATTGTCACTTTTATTTTAGTAAGTTTTCATAACAAAAAAGACCTTATATTTTATTAGTTTTTCAGAAGAAAAAAAAAACCCTTAACTTTGTCTTTTTTTTTCCCGAAAAAAGCCCTCGACCTTCTAAATGTTTCCAAATAAATCCTCAACTTTTTCAGTTTTTCCCAAAAAAACATCACATTTTACAACTTTTTTTTTTGAGAGAAATAACTAAAAGGTCCAGATTGGAAAAAATAAAAAAATGAAAGGTCTTTTTTAGGAAAAAAATAAAGTTGAGGTTTAATCCGGAAAAAAACATAAAATATAAGGTCTTTTATAAGATGAACCCTATAATTAATTTACAGTTTTACATATTATAATTGTTATGTTTTAATAAAATAGTACAATAGTAATAATAAAAAGAATATGTTATTTTTTATTATGTTAAAGATTGAAAATATGGTTTTTGATATGATGTTTCATTTTTACTCGTTGCAATTCAATAAAAAGTAAATAACTATATATGATTCAATAAATGTCCCCATATTTATTCATATATTTTTTTCTTCCATTTCCTCTAGTGTACAATCATCTTCTGAAATATATATTTTTTTTTAAAAATATTTATTTAGAAAGTATAAGCAAATAAATACATACCCAAATATGTTGTGAATGCAACATATTGTAATTTCTGTAGATGAATTGGTATCTCATTTGCTATATCATGATGAATAATGGGGAAAAAAGGTGGCCAATTTTTCTCTTCAAGAACAATACCAGCTGAAAGAAAAAGCAGGATCGTTAAGTTTTCCAACAATATTACTCAAATGACTATTCTACCCTTCAATTAAATAACTATTTGTTGAAAACGTGGCATAATTACTCCTTCTATTGTGATTAAACCATTGTACTTTTTTTGACAATGTAAAGAAACATTTTTCCCAAAATACAAAAAACCAAAACCTTCATAATTTCACCATTTTATCTATGTTTAGACTTTGATTTTTTTTTTAATGAATTTAGCCACTGGACTATTATTATAATAATCCTCAAAAATAATAGTTGACTAACTAAATCGATAAAATGGTGAAAGGTAGAGAGTTTTTTTTTTTTTTTTTTTTTTTGCCCTTTTTCATTTATGAGACAAATATATAAAGAAAATATGGTACCTCGAGCAGCTGCCTCTTCTTTGCGTTTTACTATCTACAAAATCAAAAAATTACAGATTTTATTGTAAATTCCTTGAATATACAAATTCGTGACATATTTTGTGTGTAAAAAAATAGAACAATGTTGCATAAATTGGTACAAAAAAAAAAGTGGAACATTGTTGTAAAAACCAGTAAAAAAAGTGAAACATCGTAAAAAATATGAAACGTTGTTTGCATAATTACACATTAAACCCTAAATCAAATGCACAGAAATTAGAAAGTACCTCTTCCCTCTTCCTCAAATCAGCTTCCTTACTTTGTAGTTCTCTCTCTTTCTTCTTCAGATCCTTCAACACACATTTCCATAGAGGGTAAGAGTTAGGGCCAACAATTACTCAATTTACATACACACAAACTTTCTAGGGCTTTCTTCGATCATAAAGATACAGAGGGCATTCACATCTTTTTCACAAACGATGAGATCAAGAGCGAGTCCCTGTCCTACCTTGTTCCAACTTTGTGGTTGGGACAAAAAATTGTTCACCTTTTGTCCCACTGACATTTAGTAGCAGTCTAATGCACACCAAACACAGTACAACATGTCATGTCATGTCATGTGAAATACACACCAACATACTAAACACAGTACAATATGTCATGTTATGTCATATCAAACACGGTACAACATGTCATGTTATGTCATGTCAAACACAGTACAGCATGTCATATTATGTCATGTCGAACACAGTACAACATGGCATGTTATGTCATGTCAAACACAGTACAACATGTCTTGTTATGTCATGTCAAACAAAGTACAAGATGTCATTTCATTTGTAACAAATGAATTCATAAAATCTAAAGTTGAGCTTACTACAGTTGAATCAAGTGGAATGTCAACCGATGCAGTCCGATCATAAAAAATCTGCAGGCTCATGGGGAAGAGGCGAAAGCCTAGAGTTTGTAGCTGAAGGAACACTCTGCAAAACCCAACCAACAAACTTAGTTTCTTTTTCATTTTTAAATTTAAAAAGGACACAACTTAATCTCGTAAGTTGTATATGGATGTTTCTTACTAACATAATAAAGAAAAAAAGACTTAACACAAAAAGTCAAGAAAAGGAGACTTTAGCCATTTACTTATTCCTTTCATTTCCTTCATTTTCTCAAATATTTTTTAATCACCGATATTCCATACACCGCTTAATGAAAAAATTAAAAAAATAAAAAATTAAAAATTGGGACTTACAGTCGTGTAAAATGGGCCTCCACCAAAGTTTGACTTTCCGGCTCCTTTTCCTCCCGCTTGTTCTCCCTGAATATGTATAAGAATCATTATTACTAAAACAATGATAACAATTCAACTTTCAAGAATTGTTATAAAAAGCTAATTGCAAGAAATAGCAACGTACTTTCATTTGTTTATTTATTATAGCATATTAGCATCCTAATTTCACTTCTTTCATTTATAGCATTGCAACTTTACTTATCTTCTTATTAAGGCATTCTACTTGGAAAAGGGTTCATCGTATTAAATAGTAACCATGCTTTATAATTTTTTAATTTTTTGTTTCATTCTTATGAAATTTTGTAATGTGTTTTACCCTATTGAATAGTTGAAAACATCATTGTACGTATATTTTGGGTATTATTTATACAAGATTGGCACATATTTAGGGGGTTTTGGTTACATGCATTGGTTTATGGGTACGTGTTTTATCTAAACCAAACTTTTATATAACAGTTGTTATGCCACTTTATTAATGTCCACTAATTATGGTACAAAATTTCATAACAATGGAGCAACTCAACTTTCCAAAATATTTATAGAAAACTAACAGTTTTTTATTAAACTTACTAAGTACAGAGTTTTGGCAACTACTCTAATGAATGTATGTTGCTATTTATTGCAATTTACACATCTATAAACGAAGCAAGTAGTTGCAGAAACTAAATCAGAACCAGAAACATAAATCAACACAGTAACTATAAAATAAATAGAATTCGTTCAATCATATACCCTAAGTTCAATCTCGAAACAAATTAAGCAAATGAAATAATGAAACAAACCCTAGCCTGAAGCGAAGAACAGTATGAACTCAAAAATAACTGAACAAAACTCAAGGAAACCACATTGAATCAAGCGTTGAATGAGACGCAATAAGTTGATTCGAATAAGATTTACGACTTACAGCAAATGGATTCACTTCATCTCCTTCGTCAAAGGGATTAGGATCAAAACGACCGGCCATCAGTATCACCACCCAATTTGTAGAGAAATGGGATTATGAAGCAATAGGTAATTCGAAGAATTGTTGGTTAGATTCAAGATTGAAACTTGGTTTGAGTAAATTTAAAAAAGATTATGAACTTGTACGAAAATGTGAATGGGTGAACTTTGAAATAGACGATGACATCTTGTTGTCTCTCGGTCCAAGAAACTTCTCATTGTTTTCTTCATTTTTTTTTTCTTTTAATTTTTATTTTTTGGTAAACCAAATTTAATAGCTTAATACCTTTTTTTAAAATAATGTGTGTATATATAGCTGTTTTTGTTTGGACTTTTGTAATTTTATTTATTTATTTATAAAATGACTTAATAAAAAAATAAAATGGAAATAAAATAAATAAAAAAAGGCAACATATTCATGTTACACTCAAAATAGTAATTAAATCTCATATTTTTACCGATATAAGCTATTTGTAACATGAAACAAGGATTGATACCATATTGGTGTTGACGGGTATACAATAACAATGAATTGATATACCAACTAAATTATGTGAATTTCTGCATGCAGTATAGAATAAAATTACATATTTATATTTCATGTTGCTTTTAAATAAATGACTCAAATAAGTTTTGGTTTTTAATTAGACAAAACTGCACAAATGATCCCTGTTGTTAGCTGAAAATTATCACTTTAGTCCGAAAAAGTTTGGACTAGCACCAGATGTCCAAACTTTTTATTTTGTTGCGAGTTTGGTCCAATTTGCTTTTAACTTTTTTATAAAAATGATTTTGCCCTTGCTTTTTGTTTTTTTTTAGTTTTTTATTTATTTAAATATTTTTCTGATTAAAAGAAAATTTTAAAAAAATTTAAAAAGCCAAAACTCTCTCTCTCTCTCTCTCTCTCTCTCTCTCTCCACCACTTCGTTTCTTTTCAAAAGAAAAAAAATACAATCCATAAACACCACTTCAGAAATCCATAGAAATCAGAAATCCATGAACACCTACTTCAGAAATCAAAACACATCTTTATAGTTACGATTTTCATAAAAATAAAATATCACCACCACCATTGAAGATTTGAACTAGATTTAGGGGAAAGAAATCGATATATTGCCTTCAAACACAAAAACACACATACACGAACAGATCTCGTTTCATCTTCAAATCTCGGAGCATATATGACGAGGTAGAGAGATGGATTTCGATTGACCTCCGCCGGTTTGTCTTCTCTGAACCACGACGTAGACATGGAAGACAAAATGATGATAAAATCACATTCTTCTGCATAGTTTCATCTAAATCGATCTCGAAGACGAACCACCGTCAATCTAACCCTTGTTGAAGCCGCCTGTTAAAGCAATCCCTACCACCAAACACCCATCCCTTTACCTCAGGTCTCTCCCTTTGATTTCCCGTCACAAAACGTCGCATTTGAAAACCCTAGCCGCCAAGAAACCCTAACTTCAAATTTCGATCTCCTTTCTCTTGTCTTCGGCTGTCAAGGTTCAAAGGGAGGGTAGCAACGATCGAAGTGAGTGTTTGGGGTGGTGCTACCTGAACGAAGGGAGGCGCAGGGGGGCAGGCTGACGACAGCCGCCAGTTTCTTCTTCTTTAGATGGTGGTAAGCAATAAATAAGACACGCACACACACACAGAGAGAGAATGGCGATGATGAGGGCTGATCAGAAAAATATTACAGACGACTTGCCTAAATTTTTGTTGGAGATGGAGATGCTCTTTGAGGGTATCTCTTGGCAACAACAGTGAAACACAAAGATGGAAGAGGGATGGGGAAGACGGTGGGTGGAGAGAAAGTGGGAGATAGATTGTATATTTTATTTATTTTTTTCTTTATAAAAAAATTATTAAAGTAAAATAGCAAAGACAATTTTTTTTTCTTTTAAACAGAAAAATATTTAAATAAATAAAAAAAACTAAAAAAGAAAAAAGTAAGGGCAAAATCGTCATAATGAAAAAGTTCAAAACAAATTGGACCAAACTCGCAACAAAATGAAAACTTTGGACCTGTGGTGCTAGTACAAATTTATTTGTACTAAAGTGGCAATTTTGAGCAAACCATAAAGACCATTTGTGCAGTTTAGTCTTTTAATTAAGGGAGAATTTTATATATTTAATTAATATTTAGTGGTGTTTTTTATCTATAAACTTCTATATGGTCTAACAATGATAAATAGATGAAGGTCACCTACACCATTGGTGCGGATTTGAATGATCAGGAATTTAAAGCAAAAAAAAAAAAGAATTTGATACACTGAATAGAAAGTTATTACATCGAGAGCAAAAAAAATTGTCATTTACAAATGAGCTCTATGTAAATGTTGGTACTTGTGTACAATTAAAAGAAAACTTGTTTTTGTTCGGTGCATTATTTTAGAATTAAAAAGTTTTTTTTAACAAAAATAAGTAGAACTTTGAATTTCAAACGTTAGATAAAAATTTGACATAAAAATACATCAACAAAATGTATAAACCACCATCTCATCTCCAAAATAATAGATATTGTCAATAGAATTAATAAAACTCAAGGAGTGTCAACGAAGATCATATGCTCCAGGATGAATGAACGCATGAATTTGTCTTTCACCGCAGAAACCTGGAAAGAAACGATTGTATACATACTAAAATGAGGATACGACTCGACTACCATTCAAATAAAGCCATTGACCGTTGTCACTTTCCCTATAGTTTCACCATTGACTGCAGAACCAATGTAATCTGCAATAAAAACAAATAAGAATTGTATAACCCCCTCCTAAATATTAACAATTAGAAACATGAAGGCATATCGAATCGAGAAATCATATTTGATCATGTTGGTAGCTTTTTAAATCGTTATCTTAAGTATGTTGCTATTAAAAATATAAGTATGATATTGACTTTATTGGTAGTTTTTAAAACATTATGGCAAGTATATTGTTGTTATTGGAAAGAAAATATGAATACATTTCTATTATGAGTCAGAAAGCTGTCATTTTGCTGATATAACAGTTTTGAAGTATATTGTTTTTACTGGAAAGAAAATATGAATACATTATTATTATGGGTCATAAAGTCGTCACTTTGCTAATATAACAGTTTTGATCCCAAATATTTTTTTCCTTGCAGATTTCGTCCCTGAGTGTAACTATCTTTTTGTCCCTTACTCCAAAAAATATATAATTTTTGGTTAGTGTTATGAGTTTAATAAAGTATTTATGTTATTAAAAGTTACATAAACAAAAATCGGTTTATACTCCAATCCATTCCATCATAAACAAAACAAACTACTTTTTTTCATTCTAATATAAGGAAGCATTCCGTTCCTTCCTCGATTCCATCATACTTTATACTACCTCATATTTTAAGAAGGAAATGAAAATGTCTAAAGCATACTTACCATATCAGGTGGAGAACTGATTATTCCAAGTGGTAGCTTCATGTTGCCAACTCTATGGGTCCCACAAATGAAACCGGGACTCAAGATTAGATCTAAAAAGAAAATTAAAAACTCAATGTCATAATACATGCAAAAAGTAAGAAGAATGACATGTACATGTTACAAAAATAAGATGATATAATAGTCACGTCCATATGGAAACTTTACCAACAATTCTGTTTTAGTAGCTCTCTGAAAACCTCCAATACTTCTTAATAATCTTCACTTTTGTAATATTCAAAAATCACAAAAATTTAAAATTTTCAAAACTCAACCATTCATTATCATTGTTTACAAAATATTCATTGTTTTCAAAGTATTATTTCAAATCAGAGTTTTTCCCTAAGATCCAATGACAAAATAGGAAGATGTGTACGATCACGCTTTCGCCTTCCCACGAAGTACCATCACACAAACATATAATCAACCAGATAACGGGTCCACAAGCTCCTAGTTGGATTACCCCTAGCCCACAACCTTATGGTTGGAATGCCCTGGCCCACAACCTTACGGTTGGAATGCCTAATACATAATGGGTCAACAACCTCCTGGTTGGATTACCCCCGACCCACAACCTTCTGGTTGAATGCCCTGGACCACAACCTTATGGTTGGAATGCCTCTGTCTGTTGACTTACAACACAAAGCAGTACAGTCTCAACCCCGACCATACCATGTCAACATGCACAAAACAAATAACATATATCCAACACCAGATAATCATATAACTAGTTAACAAACTATCAGGCAGATCTACAAATCACTATTGTATAACAACATCCTATATACCAGGATACATAACTAAAAGGGTCAGCATTGGTGCCTTCGAACCTTAAGAACAGTGAGGAAACTCACATCACAATCTGACGAATAGTTGAACAAGATACTGCTCCAGATACCGACTTTATAGGTCACCTATTCAACATATAGAGACTAAGGCTCAACTATAGATCAAAAAACCCAAAATACCCTTAAGTCAAACTTGGTCAACCCAGGTCAAAGTCAATGGGTCAAGAAGTCCACTTGGTCCACTCAGCTGAGTAAGCGGGGCGTACTCAGCTCCTACGTTAGGCGTACTCCTGCCTTGACCGGAGTCGGGAGTTTGACGGCGTACATGTGGCGTACATTGGGGTATGCACGGCGTACACCCATGATCTTCTCTTCTCAATAAGAGCTTAATGCATTAAGCTCTTACGTACAAACTTTAGATCCAAGGATAAAATACCACTAAGAGTCATAAAGTATCTAACTTTATGACTTTGCATTTCCATTAAGTGCTGAATACACAAAATCCCAACATCTTAATGCCTTAAGACCTTCTAGAGCATGCATGGAGAAAAAATAAGCATCAAGAACACATTTTTATGGCTCGAGACCCCTCATAAGGTCTTAAAGGACAACTTATTTGGCTAAGAACATGTCATGCTCAAGAGTCACCATATTTGGGATCAAAAGTGCCCTAAATGAAGAAATGACTATAGGATGGTGAGGGAATGAGAAATGAGAGATAATGATGCTTAAATATGGACAAAACCATAAAAATTAGGGTTTGAAGTTCCACCACGTACACCCTGCGTACGCGGTGTACGCCCAACATACTAGGGTCCACCCCAGTACGCCTAGCATACACAACGTATGCTCAACGTACTACCTCCTGGCCAAAATTACCAAAATGACACTATGGACCATTATTGCAATCTTTTCAACCCAAGGGTCAAAATTCAATGTTCTTTCATACTCAAGGTTAAAATTAAAAATACATGGGGTATTACAATTCTCCCCCACTTGATCTAGACTTCGTCCTCGAAGTTGGCTGCCACAAATAAGTCAGGATAATGCTCTCGCATCTCTGCCTCCGGCTCCCAGGTCCACTTGAACTAGACTTCATCTTTCTCTCCATTATTTCTACCGGCCTCTCAATATAATTTAGGCGTTCATCGACCTGAATTTCATCCAAAGGGACCACTGTCTCATCATCCAACATGCACTTCCGCAGCTGCGAAACATGGAAAGTGTTGTGGATCTGGCTGAGCTCACTTGGAAAATCCAAATGGCAGGCCACCTTGGCTACCCTTTCAATCACACGGAACGGTCCAATATACCAATCTAATATACCAGGGCGAGAACTTCAGTAGCACCGTATCGCCGACCTGAAACTCTAACTCTGATTTGTGTCGGTCGGCATAACTCTTCTGCCTACTATGAGCGGTTTGTAGTCTCTGCCTGATCTGCTGGATAAGCTCTGTGGTTTGGAGGACTGCTTCAGTCCTCCCCATGACCTTGTGACCAACCTCTCCCCAACAACTGGGGTACGACATCTCCGATCATATAGGAGCTCAAAAGGTGGGGCACCAATGCTGGAGTGATAGTTTTTGTTGTAGGAAAACTCCTCAAGGGGTAGGTAGGAATCCCAACTCCCACCAAAATCTATGAAACAAGCCCACAACATATCCTCAAGTGTCTGGATGGTCCTCTCACTCTGACCGTCGGTCTGCGGATGATAAGCAGTGCTGAAATATAGCCTCGTGCCCAGTTCCTCATGGAACTTCTGCCAAAATCATGAAGTGAACCGAACATCTTATTCTGATACAATGGAGACCAAAACCCCATGACGAGCAACAATCTCCCGTAAATATACATCGGCCAACTTTTCGGCCGAGGATCTCTCTTGGATGGCCAAAAAGTGGGCACTCTTGGTCAATCGATCCATAATGATCCATATAGCATCAAAACCCTTGACAGTCTTTGATAACTTGGTGATGCAATCCATGGTGATTTATTCCCACTTCCACATGGGAACCTCCAAATGCTGCAGCTTGTCATGCGGCCTCTGATGCTCGGCCTTGACCATCGTACAGGTCAAGTACCTCTCAATATACCAGACTATCTCTCTCTTCATACACGACCACCAGTAACTTAGCCTCAAATCCCGATACATCTTGGTGGTTCCCGGGTGTATCAAAACGTGAGACATATGAGCCTCCTTCAAAATCATA